CCCCACCCCTCTCTCAGCCTTCCCTTTCTTTCAAGAAAGACTCCTGCATTCCAGCGCACTGGCACCTAGCTCTCTGAAGCCCAGAGAAGGGGTGGAGTGGGAGTGGAGGCCCTGCAAGCTCTTCCTTAGATTTAGCCTCCCTGCCTTACGCTGGGGAAGCCTCCTGGAACCAGGGCCCTGGCCCGGGGCAGCCCCTGCACCAGACACCAGTCTCATTTCCTGTGCGCAGGAGGCCTCTGCTGGAAGAAGCAGAACTTTACACCATCACCCAACAGCTGGCATGCCTTGCTACTCAATTTTTTTGGCTTTAATAAAATTGGAAAGAGGCTTAGAAAAAAAAGGGAATTAGAAAGTTCAGCTGTCTGCCTGAATTTTCCTCCTTCAATTCAGGTTGGCAAAGAAAATGGAAGACTCCTAGGCCTGATCATTCTAGCCACTGCCGACCTCATTCTTTGAGGAATAATCATCATAAGCCAGCATTTACTACCCATTTACCCATCCTAGGCATTGTTCTTCCTTAATTTAATCCTGACAACCCTGTGAGATAGTTACTATCAACCCATCTTAAAGATAAGGAAACTGAGGCTTACAGACTGATTTGTCCATGTTCTGTAAGTGTTAGAGCCAAACTTGCATATTGGAAGTTCAATGTCAGAGCATGAGTCTGTGGCCACTAGACTACATGTGGCTTTCATGTACACACACACACACACACACACACACACACACACACACACACAGAATTGGGAACTTTGACACAATCTAGTTCATTGTATTTACAAGGTTGACAGGTTAAAAATCTTTTGGTTTAAGCACCTACAATGCAGATAGGGAAGCATGCCAATCAGCCAACATTGACTGGTTTCCCATATAAAAGAGCAGCTTTCCTCCTTCACCCACCTGGGCAAGTCAGGCCTCCAGAGCCTTTCCCACTAGACACACCACTGAGACATCCAAGGTCAGTGAAGTGGACGGCCAGGCATCCCTGGGCTGAAAGAAAACCCAGGCACCACACTGCCCTCTCAAAGGCCCAGCTGTGCCTGAGCTCCAAGCCACACCTTAATCCACTCATAGTCAGGACACCTGGATTAAACAAATAGGGGCTTTCTTTTATTTTTTATTTTTTAAATATATTTTTATTGATTTCAGAGAGGAATGGAAAGGGAGAGAGATAGAAACATCAATAATGAGAGAAAATCATTGATTGGCTGCCTCCTGCATGCCCCACACTGGGGATCAAGCCTGTAACCCGGGCATGTGGCCTGACCAGGAACCGAACTGTGATCTCCTGGTTCATGGATCAATGCTCAACCACTGAGCCACGCCAGCGGGCTCTTTTTTAATATAATTACAAGAAGATCAGAGATAGTTAGATCTAGATTTTGTATGAAACCTTTCTTTTTTTATGTAAGCAAGTAATTCAACTTCTTAAAACACTGTTTTGGCCAACAGATCATCTGCTGGCCAAATATGACCTGACCCACACTTTTTCTACAACTGCACCTTCAGGATGATCATGCAGCGTGATGAGCCTGTGAATCAATGTCCTCACGTCTCCCCCTCTCATTCCCACCAGCTCCCCTAGCTGACACTGCTCCCATCGCCAATGCCTCAGCAGATTCCAGTTCTGCCCACATCCTTGGGCATTTTTTGAAGACAACACAGAAGCAATGATAACTACACTAGCTACCATTTGTTGACTAGTTATTGTGTGCTATCAGTATCTAATAAGTATCGTCTCATTTAGTCCTCACAACTAATCTATGAGTTATTATTGCCCTGATTTTAAAGATAAAGAAACCACGGCACAGAAAGACTCAACAACTTACTAGTATATGCAAAGCCCAACAGCCTACTAGCGGTGACTCCGGAATGCCAACATAAGTGTATCTGATTTCAATGCCCATACCTTTAACTGCTGTATCAATCGGGGTGCTTTAGGTTATGAAATCAGAATACCTCGCTACCACTGGATGACATGATAGGGCCAGAGTATTTTTTATAAGAAGCCCAGAGTCAGATAATTATAGGGTTAGTTCAACTGCTCAACATCTCTGGCATTCCTCCACATCAACAATGTCGTGAAAGGCTGCAGCAGCTCCAAATATCAGATCCTCACACAGAATCTTCTCAACTTCACCCAAGAGGAGAGGGTCCTGCTCAGGTCTCTTTCATATCAGGCAGCAAAACCCATCCCGACAACCCCACATTAAGTGTCAATTTATGTTTCATTTGCCAGAATTGAATAATATGCTTAATAATATGGGGCACATGCCCCACAGGAGGCAATTTGATTTTTAAGGGGGGCAATTCGAGAATGAGTTATTAACAGTGAATTTTTTGCATTTCCAATAGCCTCATATACAGTATATAAAGATACTAGGTGTACCGGTTACTAATGCGAATTTTTTTTCAATAGATGGGGTTACACATATGTTGATATATGTGCGATTTGATATGTATGCTATTTTATTGTATTGACAACAAGCTTCAAAACTTCACATGTCAAATTTTCTGAAGGTGTTAACATCATAGATATTTTTATGCTTGAAAATGTCGAATTTAATGCCAAAAAAAAAAAGAGCATTTGGGGGAAGTTTTAATTCATTACTTTATTTTGAAGAAAAATGCTGCCAAAAGTTATCATAAACTTCGGGAAGCTTATAGTGAACATGTACCATCTCAAGATACTTGTGAACGCTGGTTTAAACACTGTAAAAGTGAAGATTTTGATGTGAAAGACAAAGAACGTTTGGGTCAACTGAAAAAGTTTGAAGACCAACAATTACAAGCATTATTGGATGAAGATGGATGTCAAACTCAAAAACAACTTGCAGAAGATCAAACGTTGCTCAGCAAACAATTTCAGATCGTTTACAAGCAATGAGAAAGATTTTAAAGGAAGGAAAATGGGTGACACATCAACTGAACGAAAGACAAATGGAAAACTGAAGTCATCAGTAAAATGTTGCTTCACACGGCACGAAAGAAAGTCTTTTCTGCATTGAGTTGTGACTGGCGATGAAAAGTGGATTTATTTTGAAAATCCCAAACGCACAAAATCATGGGTTAATCCAGGTCAACCATCAACATCAACTGCAAGGCCAAATCGCTTCGGAAAGAAGACAATGCTCTGCGTTTGGTGGGATCAGGAAGGTGTGATGTATTATGAGCTTCTAAAACCAGGTGAAACCATTAATACTGATGGCTACCGACAACAAATAATCAATTTGAACCACACTTTAATCGTGAACTGACCAGAATGTGCCAGAAGACACGGCAAATTAATTTTGCTTCATGATGACACACCATCACACACTTCAAAACCAGTTGAAGACACGTTAAAAGATCTTGCCTGGGAAGTATTAACCCACCCGCCATATTCACCAGACCTTGCTCCTTCAGATTACCACTTGTTTTGATCAATGGCACACGCACTTTCTGAGCAGCACTTCATTATTAACCGGTTGGTGATAAATCCGCATTATTAACCGTTAAGGCGGATTTACCATTTACCGGTTAATAATGCAGATTAATTATCAACCGGTTAATAGCGCTAGCTACACATTTCCCCCATCTTTCAGGTAATTTGTGGATACCATCCCAATAGAACATTTCTTGTTTTGAGGCAAACCATTCAGAGACCCAATTTTCCACTTCTTTGTAAGTTTTGAAGTGCTGCTCAGAAAGTGCATGTGCCATCAGTTGGAACAAGTGCTAATTGCCCCCACTGACTTGGAAATATTTCTAAATATCTTGTCTGCATAGCCCTTCTCATTTTATGTGCTTACTGAATTGATAAGATTGCATTCACAGTCAATGTAGACTCTAGGGATATTTTTTAACGCTTTGAATTTCCCACAAACAATGCCTACTTGTCTTTCTCCCTAAATCTTACCCAGTTGGGGAATAAGTTTCATATCTGAGAGCCAGAGGTAGCCCAAGAGAATGTTCCTCCTGTCACTTCAGGAATGCTTGGAAAACATATCTTTATTTCTCCTGCTCTCCAGTTCCCTTTCATTCCAACTGAGGACAAAGCCTTCCTATTTATTTCCAAGTGACTTCCCATGGTTTGAAAACCTCTCACAATGAAAAGTCAAGTAAGAGAAAAAAATAAGAAGTTACAGTGAATATGAATGAGAATATTACCATTTCTATTGTCTTCTTCATTCTAAAATGGGAAGATGTAAACCTGTGAACTGGTCTCTCTCTCTCTCTCTCTCTCAACCCCATCTTCCCAATTGCTCTATAAACATTTGCATAACTGCTAACAGGAAAGCCTTCCCAGAAATCCAAACCCAAGAGTAAGTACATCAGACTGTTCCAGAAAATGTGGTAAAAAGGAATCTACAGTATTAACATGGCAGATATGACTAACCATGGTGCCACACATGAACTGTGGGAGAATGTGCTGAAAGTTACTATTCTCTTGCAGAAATATGGGTATATAGCACATCTCTCTCCTTTTATAAGTTGTAGCCAGCATATATTTATGCCCACTCGTTAATGTATTCTTCATTTAAAAATTCATTCTTCTCTGAGAGTTCCTCAAGATGGCGGCATAGGTAAACACCGGAGACTGCTGCCGCAAACAACCACTTCAAAAAACAACTAAAAAGACGGAACGGACATCTCCCAGAACCACAGGAAGGCTGGCTGAGGAGAGACTCTTCAACTAGAAGGAAAAACAACAGCACACCGAGGCTCAGAGGAGGCGCAGTGTGGAAAAAACTCAGGTGCGGAGGTGCGCGCGCAAAGCGGGCTGGTGGCTGAGAGCGCGGTTGTCGTTTTCGGTCAGGGGGGAGTCTCAGACTCTGAGCTCCAGATACGGGCGAATCGCTGGGGACTCGGACCCAAACGGGAGAAGCGGGAGTGTCTGGCATCAGTTGGAAGGCAGCTTTCCCTCCGAGGTTTGCAGCGGTTCCGGGGGTTCTGAGAAGCAGAGCCTCTGGGAACAGGACTGAGGGCACCATAACGGCTCCCTCCGCCCGCCCTGTTGAGCCCGCCCCGCCCAAGCCCTGCGCAGAGCCATTTGCCAGATCGCCTCAGGCAAAGGCTAGATTAGCACCTCCCCAGAGGACAGAAGTTTTCCGCGGCAGACACAGCTGATTCACACAGCCAGTCGGCCTGGTGGTCAAATCCCTCTAGTATTAACTACAACAATCAAGGCTCAACTAGAACAAGACTGCGCACAAAGACCACTAGGGGGTGCACCAAGAAAGCATAAAAAATGCGGAGACAAAAAAACATGACAGAAATGGAGGATATAGAGCTAAAAATCGCAATTTTGAGGGCTTGCAAAAATGTGCTAGAAGCTGTCAATAAACTTGAGGAGAGAGTCACGAAAACTAATGAGACCCTCGATGCTATGATAAAGAACCAACTAGAAATTAAGCATACACGGACTGAAATAAAGAATATTATACAGACACCCAATAGCAGACCAGAGGAGCGCAAGAATCAAGTCAAAGATTTGAAATGCGAAGAAGCAAAAAACACCCAACCGGAAAAGCAAAATGAAAAAAGAATCCGAAAATACGAAGATAGTGTAAGGAGCCTCTGGGACAGCTTCAAGCGTACCAACATCAGAATAATAGGGGTGCCAGAAGATGAGAGACAGCAAGATATTGAAAACCTATTTGAAGAAATAATGGCAGAAAACTTCCCCCACCTGGTGAAAGAAATGGACTTACAGGTCCAAGAAGCGCAGAGAACCCCAAACAAAAGGAATCCAAAGAGGACCACACCAAGACACATCATAATTAAAATGCCAAGAGCAAAAGACAAAGAGAGAATCTTAAAAGCAGCAAGAGAAAGAGACTCAATTACCTACAAGGGAATACCCATACGACTGTCAGCTGATTTCTCAACAGAAACTTGGCAGGCCAGAAGGGAATGGCAAGAAATATTCAAAGTGATGAATACCAAGAACCTACAACCAAGATTACTTTATCCAGCAAAGCTATCATTCAGAATTGAAGGTCAGATAAAGAGCTTCACAGATAAGGAAAAGCTAAAGGAGTTCATCACCACTAAACCAGTATTATACGAAATGCTGAAAGGTATCCTTTAAGAGGAGGAAGAAGAAAAAGGTAAAGATACAAATTGTGAACAACAAACATGCATCTATCAACAAGTGAATCTAAGAATCAAGTGAATAAATAATCTGATTTACAGAATGAACTGGTGATTATAATGAATCAGGGACATAGAAAGGGAATGGACTGACTATTCTTGGCGGGGAAAGGGGAATGGGAGATGCGGGAAGAAACTGGACAAAAATCGTGCACCTATGGATGAGGACAGTGGGTGGGGAGTGAGGGCGGAGGGTGGGGCGGGAACTGGGAGGAGGGGAGTTATGGGGGGGGGAAAAAAAGAAGAACAAATGTAACCTGAACAATAAAGATTTAATTAAAAAATAAAAAATAAAAAAAATAAAAAATAAAAATAAAAATTCCTTCTTCTCTGATATCCTTTTCCACTCTTAAAATTTTTTTTAAAGACATTCGCCTTTATTCGCTTCATTTTTGCTATAGCTTCAACTGATTGAGATAAAAAATAAAAATAAAAATTCATTCTTCTCTGATATCCTTTTCCACTCTTAAAATTTTTTTTAAAGACATTCGCCTTTATTCGCTTCATTTTTGCTATAGCTTCATGGACTGATTGAGTGACAATGACTATTATGTTTAAAAAGTACTACCACCATGTACTTAGCACTTACTTGGTTCCAGTCTCTGTTTAGTCCTCCCTTTGATGGTTAGAGATTATTAGCTCCATTTTACAGATGAGAAAACTAAAGTCCAGAAGGTCAAGGGCTTGTCCAAGGTCACACAGACAACAAGCCTCACACCCTGGATTCTGATCCAGGGAAGTGTGGCTAGAAGCCCTGCAATCTCTAGGGCAACAAGGTCACACTCCAGTATGCTGCTTCCATTCACATTCCTTCAGCTAAATGTTTTTATTTATCCCTTAAAACAAACTTACAAGGTGAGCGTATTCCCATTTTACCAGGAGAAAGCTGAACATAGAAGTGAAATAACTTGATCAAGCTCACAGAACTAGGAAGGGCAGAATTGTGATGTAAATTCTGGCCCAACAATTTCGAAGCCTCACAGGGTACCTGACAGAGAATATTCTCTAGTTTTATGGAGAGGAGTGTCCTCCTGTCCCCCAGCAACAGTGTGATAAAACAGGATTTCAACAGTGACAAGAAAATGATGTACCAGTAATATTTACCAAGTAAGAATCTTCTGAGTTATATCCCTAAGTCCCAGTCCCTCATAAGGTTCATACACTGAGTGGCCAGATTATTATGACCACCTGACGTTTGTAGGCAAATTAGCCGAAGGCCTGTTCGAACACCTTTGCTGTCTGCAGTTACCAAGATAAAACGTCTCCAATTCGCACAGGAACACAAGGATTGGACAGTCAAGCATTGGAAAAAAGTCATGTGGTTCGATGAATCACATTTCCAGTTGCATCATGCAGATGGCAGAGTGAGAATCTGGCGGAAACAGCATGAAAGCATGCACCCCACATGCAGGAGTACAACCCTTCAAGCTGGTGGGGGCAGTGTTATGGTTTGGGGCATGTTTTCCTGGCATGATTTGGGCCCTTTAATTCATGTGGAACAATGTCTGAATAGCACAACATACCTAAGTATCATTGCTGATCAAGTTCATCCTATCATGTTGATGGCGTATCCCAATGGAGATGGCTTCTTCCAACAAGACAATGCACCATGC